GGTGGCGGGTCCCTCCCATAAAGAATCTTGAAAGGTGTGAACTGAGATGCAGTATGATAGCAAGTGTTGTACCAATATTCTGCCCATGGTAGCCATTTGACCCACTGTTTAGGCCTCTCCCCCACGAAGCATCTCAAATAAGTCTCCACGCTACGATTCACCACCTCAGACTGTCCGTCTGTCTGTGGGTGATATGCTGTACTGCGCTTCAAGAATGTACCCTGCATCTTGAAGATCTCCTTCCAAAAAGAGCTCAAGAATACTTTATCCCTGTCTGAGACAATAGAGGTGGGAACTCCATGCAATCGAACCACCTCTCTGATGAAAGTAGATGCTACAGTAGGGGCTGAAAAAGGGTGCCGTAGTGGAATAAAATGGCTATACTTGCTCAACCGATCCACTACCACCATGATGACCGTATACCCCTCAGACTTGGGTAATCCCTCAATGAAATCCATAGTGACTTCCTCCCAAATCTTGTTTGGAAGTACCAAGGGCTGCAACAAACTACTAGGGGCACAAGCCTGATACTTGTTCCGTTGACAAATATCACATTTGCTTACCATGTCCTCGACATCACTTCTTAACCCTTTCCAAAAAAATTCTGCTTTCACCCGCCGATAGGTCTTTTCCACCCCTGAATGTCCCCCAATACGGCTGTCGTGGTACTCCCGTAGAAGAATGGGGACGAATGCTGAATTACGGTGTAGTACCAACCTCCCCTTGTATAACAAAAGAGAGTTCTCCAAGTGATACCCTTTGAACCCTCCTTCTCCCTTCTGTACAACCGTCTGAATCCTCTCTAGCTCCTCTGCATGTTGATTTTCCTCACCATTTCACCCCAATCCACCAATTGTGGTACCGATAGTGCCATCAGCTGTGAGCACTCAATACGGGAAAGAGCATCTACCGCCTTGTTTTGAGCTCCGGGCTTATACTGAATCTCGAACTCATACCCCAAGAGTTTTGCCAGCCACCTCTGATGTTCTTCTGCCACCAATCTTTGCTCTAGTAAGTACTTGAGACTCCTCTGATCAGTACGTACTATGAATCGTTGCCCCAATAGATAAGGCCGCCATTTTTGAATAACCAACACAATGGCCATCAGTTCCCGCTCATAAACTGATTTCAGCCTTGCTCTAGTTGATAAGATTCGACTGAAGAAGGCAATTGGCCTATGATTCTGCATGAGTACTGCTCCCAAACCCACTCCGGAAGCATCAGTCTCAACCACAAACTGCTGGGTGAAATCGGGAAGAGCCAAAACTGGGGCACTAGTCATGGCATCCTTCAGAGTCTTCATGGCTTCATCTGCCTTCTCTCCCCACTGAAAGTTGTCCTTCTTTAGCTGATCAGTCAAAGGGCCTGCTATAGAACCATAGCCCTTGATGAACCTCCTGTAGTAGCCAGTCAGTCCCAAAAATCCCCTTAGTCCTTTAAGGGATTTTGGTGTAGGCCAATTCATCATGGCCTCTATCTTGGTGGGGTCAGCTGCCACTCCTCTCTCTGAAATGATGTGTCTCAGATACTCCACCTCCGTCTGAGCAAAAGAACACTTCTTCTGATTGGCATATAGCTGATGCTCCAATAATGTCGTGAGTACCATCCCAAGATGGGTGATATGGTCCTGCAGAGATTTGCTATACACCAATATATCATCAAAAAAAACTAAAACAAACCTCCTCAAATAGGGCTGGAAGACCTGATTCATCAGGGCTTGGAAGGTGGAGGGAGCGTTAGTGAGTCCGAACGGCATCACTAGAAACTCATAATGACCCTCATGTGTCCGAAAGGCTGTCTTCTGAATGTCTTCAGTCCTCATCCTAATCTGGTAATAACCAGATTTCAGGTCCACCTTAGAGAAGATGGTGGCTCCCCCAAGCTCATCCAAAAGCTCATCTACCACCGGAATAGGAAATTTGTCCAACACAGTCTCTTTGTTGAGGGCCCGGTAGTCTACACAGAATCGCCAACTACCGTCTTTCTTTTTCACCAAGAGTACAGGACTGGAAAATGGGCTCACACTGGGCTGGATCACCTGAGCCTCCATCATCTCTGCTACTAACCTCTCAATCTCCTCCTTCTGAGCATGAGGATATCTGTAGGGTCGCACGCTGATGGACGCTACCCCTGTCTTCAACACAATAGCATGCTCCCTGGATCTGATAGGGGGTATCCCTTTGGGCATCTGAAACACTGTGGAGTGTTGTTGTATAAGATCCTGGACTACCTCAGGTATGACTTCTGGCTCTCTTTCTACCTCCATGCCCACCTGCTGTAGCTCTATCAAATAGCCCTCTCCATCATCTCTCAAAGTCTTGAAGATGGACTTCAAGGCCACTCTGGATCTGCATAAACTGGGGTCTCCCTGTAGTGTCACTCTCCTGCTCCCCTTCCCATACTCCATGTATAATTTCTTCCAATTCACCTTCATCTCCCCCAAGGACTGGAGCCACTGCATCCCAAGTATCACGTCAGTGCTTCCCAAATCCAGCAGTAGGAAGTCTTGCACTGTCTCCTCTCCTTGCAATGTAAGGGTCACTCCCTTACACTGCCCGCTACAGCGCTCCTTCTTTCCCGTGCCCAAAATGACTCCTACACCTCTCCCCTGTGTCACTGGTAGCCCCACCCTCTCCACCAATCTGCAAGCAATGAAGTTGTGGGTGGCCCCACTATCAATCAGAACCATCACCTTGTACCCTGCAATCTCCCCTTCCAGCTTCATGGTGGAATGTGATGTCAGACCTGCTATTGAGTTGAGTGAAACCTCCACCATAGCCAAATGAGGGCGCTCCTCCTCTTCTCCCTCCTCCTCAGTTGCCCCTGTATCCTCTTCCTCCTCCTCAGAATCCCCCACTATGATCACATGTAGTGTCTTCTCCTTACACCTATGCCCCGGTGTAAACTTCTCATCACATCGGTAGCAAAGGCCCTTGGCCCTTTTTTCCTTCAACTCGGAATCAGTTAATCTCTTGAACCCCCCTTGTTTCACTGCCGTAGTGGTTTTCACCTTGGTTACCTCCCTAGGAGAAAGGATGGTAGCCGCCTTTGTGCCTCCAATCATGAGTGGTGGTCGGTAAGTAGGGTAAGGCACCCCTGATCGCCTCGGTAGCTCCACCTTCAACTTGTCCTCTACAAGCTGTGCAGTCTCCATGATCTTTACTAACCCATGTGGATCCACTACTCGGATGGCTGCTCTGATGTGAGGCTTCAACCCCTTCATGAAACTTCCCTCTAAAAGGTTGTCTGGAATACCTCTCAATCTGCCTGAGAGTAGCTCAAAATGCTCCCTATACTCTGCCACTGTGCCCTCCTGCACTAGAGCTACCAACTGCTCATAGTGTGTACCCTCGTTGGACACTCGGAATCTATGAAGTATGAGGTCTTTGAACTCCTCCCAACTCCTAACATGTTGTCTCCTTTCAAGCCATTGAAACCAGGCCAATGCCTTCCCCTCTAAACAGATCGGAACCGCCATCAACTTCTCTTCTTCTGTGACGCCATTCACTGCAAAATAGCGCTCCACCCTGTAAATCCACCCATAAGCATCTTCTCCTTCAAAAATAGGAATTTTCAATTTCCTCATGCGGTTGTCAGATCGGTGGAAGGTTCTTCCATCTCCCCATGTCCCCTGAGCAAATCCCTCCCTTTGTGGTCTTCCCCTCCTCTCCACCGGGTAAGGATTTTGAATCCCCCTCCATGCTTGGCTCTCCATAGCCCATGCCATAGTCATCCCTTCTTCCTCCCTACTCCCACGTGGCACGGTTCCCTTCCGGAAACCCCCCCATCTGATTCGGCCACCCTTCCCGTGTGCCGTGAGGGCCCACCGAGCCTATGTATGGCCGGCCCCCTTGACCACCGGCCATCCCCCATGGTCCGCCCACTCCAGACCCATCTCCTCCTTCCCTTGACCATTGCCCTTGCATGCCCTCTTCACTCTGATTTACTCCTTCCCTAATTGGAAAATTAGGGTTAGGGTTAGGGTTTGTCACCGGGGATTTCCCTTTTTCCTTAGGATTTGATGGAGCAACTTGGGCTTCTAACAATTTCCGGATCATTTCTTCCATTCCCCCAAATCTCTACTCTAGAGTTGAGAATTTTCCCTCCAACGAAGAAAGTTTCTCACCCACTTCCTCTTTCAATTGGCCCATCTCTCCCTCCAAAACTTCTACCTTCTTTGATGCCATGTCGTCTAGGATCGAGAGCTCTGATACCAACTTGATACACCTTAGGTTTCACCAATTTGTCTTTGCCCTAATTATTCTCACAAGAGAAGAATTTGTCCACCAAATGCACATAAACCTTCAAAAGAGAAATGAGATGTAGGACAAGAACATTCGCATTGAAATCCAAACAATAAAACAAGATAGGTTGTCCACTTCGAGAAGGACAAAATCTCCCACAATAAACTCTAGAAAAGCAAGAGAAAACTAAAAGAGACTTTTCTTAGCAAGATCCCCAAAAAATGAGCTCTAATCCCCCTTTCATACCACCCCACTAACCCAACACATCCCTAAATTACCCCTCCCAATCCACCCTCCATCTTCCCTCAAGATTCCGTCCCCCCCCCCCCCTTAGCCGTTCGATCAAAAGGTGGGCCCCTGGGGCCCACCGTGGCTTCCTCCCCTGTTTCCTTCGGGAACGTCCGCCCGCCCCCTCCGCGGCGCTTGTAGACCCGCGTGGGTCTGGGCGGATGGACCGGGTGAACCGGTCCATCAGGCTCCTCTGAAAACAAAGGAACGCAAATGTTTAGACAAAGGAAGCGAAACGTGAACATTCATTTTAGTTCATCAATTACTGCTCATCATTGTCAATAGCACAATATATTGGTGGATCAAGTCTGTATGAACATGCCTAAATATTTGCATTTACTACTAATGCAATAAGACTATAAAATATTGATGGATAAATGATTGCTCTCTTATGTCTTATGAACCATAGGCAAAATAAGAAATTATAAAATAAAAAAACACAACTATAACAGAATCAAAAGGCCTTACTCCTAGACCATACGAGCCATATGCCAAAATGGTAGCACTTGTCCTAGCAATTATGTCCTTAGGAAGACGGCGCTGCCATGCAACTTTTCTTATCCAAGACAAAACTATCTGCAAGATTAAAAGAACAAATAAGAAGAACAAAACTAAAAATAAGAAAGGAAAAGAAAACAAAATATCAAATGGAATTTTAAAACAAAGACAAAGATTAGCACAAGCACAAACCTAAATCCATCTATCTTAGGGCTCATATAGTTGCTTGCCGATAAAAACATATTTTACGAAAAAATTACATTTTTACTTAATTATGTGTGAAAACAAAATCTTCTGATCAAAATGCAATAAAACAATATGAAAACCAAGAAAAATAAAATCTCTCAGAAGGTTTATTAGATTGGAAGTTCAATAGAATGCAGGCATGATAAGTATCAAGAAGATAATTATAAAAAATTACAGGACAACTTTATACCAAAATTTCCTATCAAAATAATGTCAGTTTTCAAACCTACAAGTCTCAAATTCCATTTTACATATAACTCATTTGATTAATAAAAAATTATGAATGACCATTAGATTATTATCAAATGGAAACAATAGATGATCTTTCATTACCTTTGCCATAAGCATTCTTTTAATATACTCTTTAATTTTCCAATCAATGGAAAAAAAGCAGCTTAAACAAGTTGTAATACGTTCAATTGCCAGTGAAATATGGATTCAGATTCCTTACTAAATTGTGATATTGGATATTTGGATATCATATACTCACCTACTAGTGCGGTGTCTTGTGTCAAACTTGTGCCTAAAATATCCGAGTTGGGAAATTTATTTAATTTGTACATAAAAGAGAATAGAAATGGCATTAAGTCACGCCAAGTGTTTGTAAAACACAATGACTGGACAACCCTCCAAAAGTGTTTGGATTTCGAAACCTAAAGCAAACATCATCTTGTCAAAAAACACTGCATCCTAAATAAATACAGTTGAATAAATTACTAAATTAAAAAAAAAATTCAATAATTTTGTAAGTGATTATACAGGATGGGTGATCAATCATTCCATCTTAAAGTCGAGCTAAGAGAAGATGGCACCTAAGATCAAAAGAAACTAGTACTTAAATAACATTAATTTACAGGTTCAAGATTATCAAAAATACATAAGGATTCACCATTGACATCTATTAATATTCTAAATCTTGTTATCTCATAGCTTTATAACATGAAAAATCAAGCCTGTGTTAAAAATTTTCAATTTGATTTTGTTACTTGAACAACTATATTATCTGGATAAAATTCTCATTAAACAATGGTGTAATCAATAGATGAAAAATGTTTGCTTTAATGCAATCTACACAAGCAATAAAATCTAAATATGAATAATCAAGATGATTACAAAATTTCTTTCTTTTGTTAGTTATTATCCATCAGATAATGTATAATATGTGAGGCATCACATGCTAAAGATAATAGGATTGAAATAATTATTAAAATCCCAACTATCCCTTGGCTCATGATCCCATGGCAAGCATGGAAATTCATGGGAGGTTCACCTGGAACACGTTGTTAAGTCTCAGCCGTCTCTTGGCCCTTGATTCCATAGCTAGCATGGGGGATCCATGGGAGGCTCACTTGGATCATGTCGATCTCCTTCTATATTTGGGTGGTTGATTTAGGAAGGATTATATTGACGCAATTATGCATGATTCTGTAGCTATTTGTTTCTTTATTAAGATATATTGTATATATCTATAACAGGGATAGTTTTGTATAATAAAATTAAGCTTTTTTCCCTTTCCAATTCTCTAAATTTAACGTGGTATCAAAGCAAGGCATTTGGTTCTTTTTCAAAAACGATATCGTGAGAGAGGGAAAGCCGGTACTTGCATTTTGTTCCTGCTCATGTGCATCTAGGGAAGTCGAGCAAGTGAGAGATCTTCCCCTTTGCAGTCTTCTGCATGCGGCTCTCGTGCGTGCCTACCTAGGGCCCGAACTGAGTGAAGAAAAGGATCAAAAGAGGGAGCGTGCAAGAACTGCGTGTGCAAGAGCTGAACTGAGCAAGGAACAAGCAACTGAAGAGTTGTTGTGCACCCCATCAAATCCTCCACTCGAAGAGCCCTTCATTGCCCCAAATCCTGTCCGCTTCTACATATTCCCAATCCACTACCCTCAGATCTAGGAGATGCACAAGAAGGTTGAAGCCTCCTTTTGTACAGCAAAAGAAGTAGGCCTCTCCCAAGATCTCTGCCACTAGGATCAATCCCTCAAATTGGACATATGTCACTTTGTAACCCACACTATTGCTTTCTTTGTTGTTGCTAACAGAATTGTCATTGAGAACCTTGCCGGCCTGATTTGGACTGAAGCCGATTTGTCGGATTCGAAGTTCTTTGATGGAGCGGTCCTGATACATGGAGTTCCTAGACGATGCGCGTGGTGGGGAAGAAGGTGGCTTTATTGGTGGCAAGACAGTTCACTGTTACGGTCTAGTTCGTGCTTATTATGACTGAAGAGTTGGTGAGTACGCAAATGGTGAAGTACGATACTTACCTAAATAGGGAGTTGATTGTGGATATCGAGAGTGATGCTACAAAGAGATTAGAAGCATTCTATCCTACCCTGAAGGAGTTGGCGCTTACTGATTCTCCAGGTTCCCACCACCAAGCTTCATTGCAGGAATTCTGAGGAAAACAAGTTCTCACAACCGGCCTTCATTACCAAAATTCTAAGGAATATAGGTTCCAACCACTGGTTTTCTTTTTCATAATTTTGAGGAATACTAGTCCTTCCATAGGCCTTCATTGTCGGAATTCTAAGGAATATTAGTCCTTTTGCTTCCTTCGTGCATCAAAGACTCCTCTCCTGTGCAACATCCAGAGTCGACCGAGCAGAAGCAAGATAAATCGAGCACAAGAACTCTTGCGTGCGTATGAAAAGAGCTAAAAATTCCCTCTCGTGAGGGTCTATGGTCGGGAAAAGCAAGATTGCAAGACATGCACTCCTTGCAATCAAACCAGAGGAATTAAAGGCCTTGTGTGTGCCTATATAAGGTCGATCGAACAGGAGTGTTCAGGGGAACAGGGTGAGTCAGATGAATGACTTACATTGGGCTGAAGGGGATCGAACGGCAGGAGATTTGCTTGCCATGCATTGGGCCGCTTGAGACGTATTTTTCTATTGTTGTCATCGAAACTTGTCGCAACCCTAAAAATTGATTTTTTTTCCTACTGCCATGCTTTCATTGTCGGCCTTCCCTTGTGGTTGCTATCGTATCTACAACCAATGCAGCCTTCATTGCTCCTCTGCTTAATATAGCATTCATTGCTACCTTTTCCACCGCAATGTCTAAAACTAATTTCTCCCAAAATTTTGACCAAATGGAGGGCACTATGGTGCACCAAGAGGCTATAACTCTACTTTTTTGGGACTAATTATTAAGATGGGAATGACAAATGTGTATTCCACAACTTCAGGGAGAGCATAAAATCCCAACCATCCCTTATATTGCCATGCTTTCATCGGTGGCCTTCTCCAATTGAGAAGAAGGGGTGTCTTTATAATCAACTAGGCTAGATCCCCTAGTTTTTCTCTCTTTTTTAATTTTCGTGTAAAAAATATCATGTCTCATACTCCTAACTTATTCCATTGTATGGAGAGGATTTTCTACAGTACAAAGATGATAAAATCACACTCTACCGCCGTGAATGTTCCAGCGCACGACAATAATGATTAAAATATCATTATCGAAAACAATGTCATCAAGCCAAATAAATGATATTTGCTAATAAGATGACGCTGGAATGAAAAAGGTCAAGCATTTTTCCAAAGATGATAAAAAATCACAAATAAGGGTAGAGTTTGGTTCATTCAACCAACAACCAGTACCTGTTTAAGCTCCTCCATCACTTTCTTCCTCTTCGTCTCCTCTTCGAGAGACGGCACCAGGCCTTCGCTAGCCATAAACTGCGAAGCTAAGAATAGCTAAGAGAAAAAATCCAAAGAAAAGAGGAAAGCAACACTTCACAATGCATAAACCACTAAAAGAAAAATGGTTCCGCGAGCTCGCCTGAAGCAAAGACTGAACACGCTTGCCTTCCATTTGAATCAAAATGGCAGGATCCAAAGCCACTCGAGGGGCAATGAAACTTCTTGGGAAGAAAAGTCTCGGGAAGCTGAGGTTTTGGAAGCCAGCAACCGGCGCGGTGACAACGTATCCTACGGGCGGCAGCGAAAAGAGCGGCGGAAGCGGCGGAGAAGATACGACTAGGGTTCTAGGCACGACTAAATGAAGACCAGGATCGACAACTCTTCCATCGATCGGGTAGCCAAAGGCCATGCAACCCTGAAGCGGTCGATTGGGCGAGATACGGTGCAATAGGGAGAGGTGGGATAAAATGAGAATTTTGGAGCTTCGTTGTCTTATTTGTGATTGGCACACTATTTAAAAGGAATTTACATATAAATCATGTAATTATATTATATATTTATATATAATATCTAAGTTTTTAATATTTTTATACAATTTTTAATATCTTAATTATTTTACAATACATACATGAAATATATTTTATTTTATAAAATTAATATTAGTGATATTTTAATATAATTCAAAATTTAGATGTAATATAAATTAATATAAAGATATATATGTTATATACTTATATATATATAAATACATAATAATTAATGATACTCATGAAAATCCTACAAAAACAAATAAAGACAAATATTATATTTAAAAAAATATTTTAAGAGTATGTAGCTAATCATAATTCTTGTGTACAGAACTTTGAACATATGGAATAATAGCTAAAATTCCTTTGCCAGCTTAAGATTAATCATAAATTGAAGTTGACATATATGATGGATGCTTAAGTTTCGGCCATTAAATCGCAATCACTTGCACCTTGTATGTCCATAGTGAATACTTTTTCGATGAGAAATGAAATAGGGATTTTTTTTTTCAATTGTAAGCATTTTTTTTTGTTGAAACCCACCGACAGGTTTACACAATAAATTCCCAAAAAATACAAGGTCCTTAATGGGGCCTCCAGTTCTGTATTACTCAAAAGAGTTACAAGAAAATTCAAAAAATACCTATGAGCTGGTGGTCCCTACTGATTCAGAATTACAAAGCAACCTAATAACATGCTAGACTGGTCATAAACCATAACCCAAAAACTAATAACCCATATATTACAAGTCAACTTCATCTTACCACCAAAGGGATCGGCTTGCAATACCGCTTTACAATGGTCACAAAACCGTTTACTAAATGACTAAGCATATAGAAAGTAGGAGAAATCTTCTATGTACGTAACAAAAATAATACAACAGATAGACCAAATAACGATATGCCAGATGGACCAAGACAGCTTATCCAGAGACACAAATAACAAACATAAACGATAGTAGGAGCATTCAAAAATGAAAGAAATTATATCCAAAAGGAGCCAAAACAAAATAAGAAAAAAAAAAGGGAAAGGGGTCCAAGCACTCACCAAAAACAATCACCACCACGACAAAAATGCCTAAGAGTCAAACTAGTATTAAAGAAACACAACACATAACAAACAATCTTGCAAATAAAAAAGGGCAGCAAAATGGTTCACCAAAAGCAACACATTAAGAAGACCTTCAGTGTGATGCCCCAAAATTTAAATTAGAATAATTATTCTTATTTTTCAATAACAGAAATATAAATTTGATCAGAAAAATATCAACAACATAAAATTTTTGAAATCAGAAATAGGGTAAATATTCCTTACAATGAGACGAGCAAATATCTCAACAAGCTTGATTGTCGAAAATCGCTCAATGACCTCCAAAATTGGGTTTTTCTTTTCTCATTCCTTCCTTTTCTCTCTTTTTTTTTTTTATTCTCTTTTGGCCAAACGAGAGGGGGGAGAGGGCTTAATGCTTAAGATATTTTGAATATAATAATAATAATTTAATATAATTATTTAATATAACAATTTAATTTAATCATATTTTTAATATAAAATTCATATAAATTATTTTGGGTTTTAAAAAATATAGAAAAATATCCTTAAAATAAATCATTTTATTTAAAAAATATCGATGAAATTGGTTACGAAACAGACACATGACGATCCCAAAATCTCCATTTGTACCGACATGTGCCAATTTTTAAAGGATTTTTCATCAAGTGCCCAAAAATAATGAAAAAAAAATTGTGTAATTAAAGCACTACAATATCAATGCCCAAAAAATAATGCAATTCTCTTTATCCAGATGCAAAGGAATTCCTAATTTTAACAATATGGTTGATCACCACATCAGGAGCAACATTATTTAACATATCCGCATTCCACGAACCATTCATAATAAAACTTTTAACTAAAATAAAGATATGGAACGGGTGTTAAGTAATTTATCAATAGAAGAATTGCCCATCCATTGTCAGCTTAAGATTAATCATAAATTGAAGTTCACATCCCTAATGGATGCTTAAGTTTCTAATTATTTTTTAAGTTGACCCCTCTAATTAATGTCATATTTTTTCAAATCATAGTTCAAATACTTGATTTGGGCTCATTTAGAGTTGGATCGAAGTACTTTTGGTTGAAGCAACAAATCAACCAATATGCTTGATAATCTACTCGTGGATCGACTTTGCTAGATGCTTTTTTGAAAGCTAAATTGATAAATGAACAAATTTGAATGACTAGATATTTGTTTTATTTATGATCATCAATAATATCATTTAAAGCTCGTAAATCAGTTCGTTAAGAAGCTTGATTAAAGCTTATTAATACGCTTATTTAAGATTTGATTATAAATTTATTTAATATATAACTATGCTCGATTGGTTAATTAGCTAATGAGCCAAGCAAAATCTATGCTTAAATATTCATAATTTTAAATGAATCAAACTTGAAAACTATTACAAATATTCAAACCGAGCTTGATCTTGACCTAGAATAGAGTTTTCGCAATGAGCTCAAGCAGGCACCTACTCAACTGGGCTTAGCTCATTTGCAGCTTCACTTTTGATATCGTTGGATTTCTCTTATCAAAAAAGTTAATTTGACCGTAAGTTTATTGAAATCAAAATTTATATGATCATGAACTGAATCCCAAAAGTTTCATCTTAATTTCAATAATACCTCAAAATTTATGCCTGATCAGATGATTTTTTTTAATAGAATGTCAACAAGATGCACTTTTTTATGTACTTTGGACTTGATAAGTGAACGCCATACTTACCTTATAAAACTTGGAATCTAACTAGAGCATACAAATCACAGTGGTAATGGTTGATTGGAAATGCCCCATCTCATGAATATGAAAGGTTTGAATCTCCCAATTGGACCTAGACGAGAATCCTCAACTTTATAGATTATAAAGATATGCATAAAGTGATAAAACTTTATGAAGAAATCTGTGTAATATTACAAGATCTAGTAAGAGGAGAAATTTTTATGTGTGGAGTTTGGACGTAGCTTGTGTTTGGATTCCAATGAAATCAAGCTACGTGGCTTATATACACCCTGTTTATAACCTGTACATAAGGTGCGTACAAAATAGTATCAGAGCAATACACAAGTTAGGAGATGGGACCTAAGTGTCATATAAGATAAAGTGCTATGCCATAGGAGCCGTCTCTTGAACCCTGCATGAGACAAAGTGCTACATGGCGGGAGTCCCCACTTGAACTTGTCGAGACCACCACTAGAAATCCTATGTCTGGTGGATTATTCTAGGATAAAGATGCTGATGAGGATATCAGTTACTTAAGTAGGAGAGATTGAGAAACCCTTTAAATAAAAAAAAAAACTAAACTCTTAAACATCGAGGCGACTTTTGGTGTAATGATTTTATTAATAAACTTTGTAATTAAGCATGTTCATTCCCAAGAAATTCAGAGATGAGTGACTTTCTGGGAAGTTACATCAACAGGATAAAACCGTGAGACTCATAGACCAAAGCGCACAATATCTCGATAGTTAAGAGTTTGAACTGTTACACTCTGTGTACAATCCACATGACTTGTTTTCATTGAAGTTCGGATGCATCCAGACGCCATAATAATTCTCAGTAACAGAGTCATTTCATATGCTTAGCTCAACGCAACCCAAACAGCACCAGCAACATAAATAAATAAACTAATTCATAACAGAATGCGCAATTGTCACGTAATCACACAACAAGCATATTATTTCATTCCTTTTAAATTGGTTTACGATCATCAAGAATCAATTAAGTATAATCTGTATTATGTTCAGCACATGGCATGACATGTGATCAAAAGACAATTTCAAAGAAAACTAATTGACCTTCCTGCAGTTCAAACGGATCTGGCCATTGTTGCCCGTAAGAGGACTAATGGCTCCCATCTTCACCATAGCTGCTGCAAAGTCATTGAAGAACAAGACAGGATTTAAACTGTACTGTCTCACCAATGAATCTTGAGCGCCATTGTTGAACAGCTCTTGGTCGGAATGCAGGAGCCCGCCACCTCCCACCAAGTTCTGGTAATAGTTGATTCCGAAAAGGTTTGGGCTTTGAAGCTCAAGCGGAGCCAAGTTGTCGTCGCCACCAGAAGAGGGGCAGTTCAGCCTTCGAAGGGCGGCGAAGATGGGGTTTATGTTGTTGTCACTGTAGATGCGGGAGCGGAAGGTGGCGCAGCGGGCCTGGCCGATGGTGTGCGCTCCGGAAAGGGCAGTCATGTCTCTGGGGCTCAAATTCTTCGCCGCGAAGGCAGAGATGAGTGTTGAGAGGCTTGAGCCAGGGCTTGGGAGGTGGTTGTTCGCGGCGGCTTGGCTTGCCGTAATGGAGTCCCGGCGACCGAGGGCCACCGGCCATGACGGCCCTCCCAGCTGCATCGTTCATATTCAATGAAAATTAGACCGTTATTCATACTCCATATAAATATAGTTGTGTGTACTAACCTGAACAACACCTTCACGAGCTGCAAGGGCGAGAATATCAGCACAAGACACAGTGGCATTGCAGGAGGCCTCAACAAGAGATTTTATCGTATCAATCACTTCAAAACCTCGAATAGATTTTTGATTAGGGAAGGCGTTCTTTTCACCAGTAAAAGTTGGGGTGTCGTCGAGAAGAACTGATGCGTCACAACCCTGATAAGAAAGTACAGATCAGAAAAGCTTATAGAAATTAAGGAAAAGATTTGGTACTGCAATGGCTCGTACATTAACAAAGCAGTCATGAAAGAAGAGGCGGAGAATGGAAGCGCCCATGCGAGGTTCATTAGCAACTGTTTTGGCCATGGCTGAGCTCACTATGCTCTGCAAGTTCGGGCAAGTGCGAGCGTAGAACCCCGTTGTTAAGAGCTGGGCTTGTACTCTGCAACTGAGCAAGCTCAGTAGAATAAGCGCAGGTAACACTCTGCAGATGAAATTGAAGGCCATCATTATAGCTCTATTAGCTGAAACCTTTGTGAAGAAAGTCCACTCTCGGAGTTGATATATATAGAGAGGAAAATAATTATAACTATATAATAAAAAGATTAAATATAAAACAACTATTTAAATTCAATTTAACATTTTTATTATTTTATTATCTTATTTTAATATAAATTTTGCTAGAATTGATTGCTTCTCTCAAAAGTCCTACTCTATCATGTGCTTTCATATGAAATGCGGTGGATAAACAATAAGAATCTGCGGTAGGTAGCTACTGATCGATAGATATATTTTATACAGGAAGATCAAAATAAATTAATATATTAAATTATATATACAGAAATATACGATGATTTATAATTTGAAGAATAAAACAAATAATTGTCATATATTTCAGTTAGGAAGAAGAAGAGTGGAGCTTTGCTGATGGGCGGTCAAATCCTCTGATACTATAAGAAATAGAGGAGCTGTATAGCAGTGTGTGCTTACTATCATTCCATTATTTCTGGGAGAAAAATTAGGCGTGCCGACTTAATTCCTTCTAAAATGTCATTGTGCACAATTCTTTCTATTATGATATGAGTATAATATTATTCCACCTCTCAACTGATACTTCTTGATCATGGAATAATAATTGATACATTACAGGAAAATCATTTAATATCGGATAAAATTTCCATGGAAAGTTTGATTTTTTGGCGGTTAAATCTCCATAGAAAAAATCGCGTAGGAAATTGAAATATCTGATAGTTTTTTTAGGGTGGCAATACTTGTCGGCGGTGTTCCAGAGGCTATAACCATTGGAACTTACCGGAGGTCATGCCGCCGGTTATTCCGTCAGTCATTTGGCCACTGTAATTTGATGAATTTTTTATAGTGATATTTAGGCTTTCTTTTTGGGGCAGCTTTCTTTTTATTTTGTAAAGCAACTTTTTATTGTAAAAAATTCTAATTCTAAATTTTTTTGTAAAATATATTTTAGAAAGCAATAAAAAAAACTGTTCCAAATGAAGCCTAACATTAATTACTTAGGTCATACTTAAAGAGTACACAATTTCATCCTTGTTTATAAATGGCTCGATTATAAGATAATAGTGGATATTCAAATTGGTTGCTTAGATTGTGATGTGATGAGCACACTGTTCCATCCTTATTTAGACTTTTTGATCATATGATAGTAGAAAAGGATTGATCTTTGTATTGATTAGTTGAATCATCCAATGAAGAGTTAATAGACTATCCCATCTCTCTTCAAACTTCATAATCTTACTATGATAGTTGATCTTTGACTTTACTTTTATCATGATGTATCCCTCTCTTTAAATTTCTTGAGCAATTAGTGATGCTTTTTATATATGTGGTTGATTGCTTATATAATGTCATATCAAGTATAACATGAGCCTTAATCAATGGATTTCTTTTCAGTATTAGTTATTTATTATGGTATGAAATATAATTTATTCTACTTCTAACCCTTAGATTTAAGAAGTATTGGTTATGATTGTTACTATGATATATAATGCCATATCAAGTCACTACACCAAGGCTTTTTGAGCCTTAGTCAATGGATTTCCTCCCATGATTAGTTATTTGTTAATATGCCTTAACATATAGTTTATTCTACTTGTAATTCTTAGGTGAAGTGTTAGTTATGATTGTTATACCATAGTTTGTTACTAGGATTGTAAGACAATAAGTATACTATTATCTTAGAATGACAACCATTCTATATTGCCCTAGTTCCCATTTAATGGATTATTTGAGTGATGGAAAGCATGCCTCTAATTACGTCAAATCAAAATTATTTATTTCATCGATTAATGCCAAAACATGCAATGTGTTTAGTGTCCACTGCATTTATTGGGGTTCTATTTGTTAATATTCATTTTGAAGAATGTTAGTTTTAGAACTACATTTGAGCCTCCTAAGTTAATTTCATGCCCAAAGGACCCTTGCTTTATTTATTGCATTTCTTAGAAGGCCCTAGGACTCTTTCGTACCACCTCATAATGGTTGATGGCACTAAAACCTAGTACCAACATTATATAACCTAGTTGTCCTATTTAATTTTTTATTACTTTAGTTATTTGAGACATAACTTAATTGACCTAAAGTATGCATATAAGGACTTAGGCTATCCTAAACCCAAATGGATTCATTAAATTTATACTTAAATAGTTACTAAAGCAGTTGACTCATTTAACGACCTTTATTCGTCTACATTTTATTAACATCATAGGACCTAATAGGAGCCTAGATTAGCTTAACTTAGGTTAGGTGACATATTGACCTAGATTTACCTAATATATGGGAGCCTTAGACTTTATTTGAGACATATGAGACCATTCTTTGTCATGATATTGTAGGTGATCTCTTCTTAGATGCCCTCAGTCCCTAATAGGATTAACAATTTAAGTTCATTGATTCATTTATGACTCTCCTAGCCATAGACTATGATATTATTATTAAAGGATACAAAACTATCTTTGTGAGACCTCGTTCCCTTACTGTTCCTCTCTAGATTGGATTTTCCTCTCAGGATCGTCCGGGACGATAGTGAGATCGTCCAGGCCGATCTGTACTGTTCAAAATATCGTCCTGAGAATAGTTCTGGGAACCGTCCAAGACGATCGGGACGATCGATTTTGGTCTGATCGTCCCGGGACGATTTTGCGATCGGCCGGGCCGATCAGCTTTATGATATAAGAAAGATATCTGGGGCATCACAATCTTGACTCTAATCCTTGATTATATTGGACTTAAGGTGGTGTTGGGCTTAGCCAGGTGACCCCAAATCAAACCTTTAGATCTGACCAAAGCTATAGGTGGTTTGTTCACCTAGTTTACACCTCTATCTCTTGCTATAATCAACCAACCTAAGGTAGATCAACCTAATATAGTAAAAGCATGTGATCCACTTGGAATCTTCATTGAACTTTGATGATCCCAATTATATTATTGGTCCTTAATTAACATAGGTTACTAGGCTAGCTTACCCCTAACTTAAACTAGGCTATAACATGACCCTTGAATAGGAATATCTTGGATGATACGGAGCACTTGACTCAAAGGGGTTAAACCCAATTAGATTACCGAAGCCTAAATGATCAAAAACTCCTTTTTTGCTCCATTTCCATTCTAGGATTCATGACATCATCTCGAGGAGTTAATCATCAAACTTATCAGCTCCTTGAAAGCTTTCTTGATTCATTTTATTTTTACAAGTCAAAAAGTATCTTAGGTCAATGGTTTGTCCCCTCTCATCCCTTTTAAGGCATTGTCCTGACTCCCTCACATGTGATAGGGAACTATCCCACTAGTTGACTTATTAATTTTTACCATTCATGATAGATGTACTAAAATTTTAGGAATAACTAAGAGTATTTTATAAATATGAACAAAATGATTATGATTCCTTTATTAGTAGACAAGATTAATTTTTTCATTCCCATGAAAAATAGACTTAATTGAAGACACTATAAGATTGCTATTGAATAATTATCAAATAAGCGGTCGAAATCGCATTCGATCACATTCAACTAATATTTATGATTGGAATCACAAATGGTAATGGTTGATTGTAATACTCCAGAATAAAGAAAACTGATGCTATTTTTCTTCTCATTTTATTTCTTTGATAAATTTCATAACCCTCATGTCTGATTAGCCCCATTCAACTAACTAATATTTGCAAATGTTGTAAGCATCTTATTATAATTTAAGCATTTTATTATTTAATTTATTAGCATATGCTATATATATGCCAATAAAGCTTCATCATTAATAAGAGAACATGTATGATTAATTATAGGAACCAAGTTAGAAACATCTGAGAATATAGGCTCTTCAACAGAGTTCGACGTAATATTTTACTGAACCAATTCCCCAACAACCTCCCAATCAGAGGATGAAGAAAATTGAATGACATCATTATTAACATGCAACAGGAATAAATAGAACAGACAAAATCATTGTGTTTGAAGCATCCACAATATTTAGAAGAACAGAAGAAGTAACCGGGAAAGAACATAAAGCAGGAGATCCAAACCAAAGTTTTCCTAAGCAATAATAGTATCAATTTTAGTGTTATTCAATGGTTCCTTATGTAAACAAGGATGAAGGATCGATAGGGCATTCCAGCTTAAGATGATCCAATGACTTGCAATGGTCATAAAAAGTGGGGAAATCCTATATGATCACATTTTGAATATACTAAAACTTTTCAGGGCCAATCAAAATATTTTCATAATAACATTTAGTTATGTCCAGTTCAATTAAAACATGAGCCATACGGAAGGGCTAGATCCGATCGATGTTGCGTTGTCAGTCCGTAAAGGACGACCAATAACAAACCTAAACCGTGAAAAATATGGGGCAAAAATAGGTGAGGCCGAATGTTTGGAAATGAAACCCAAATAGGTATAATAGGATATTCATCAGAGATATCCAAGTTAGGATATCATTTTATTAATTTCATAAAGTGATTGTTAATAAAATAAGATCTATGAGCGAAAATCCTACAATAATCCATGTCATTTGAGAGTTTTATCAACACATGTCTAGTGTCTAAAAGAGTAATAAAAAATTCAGTCATAAGTTTTAGGTTAAAGAAGAACTTCCGAATTGCTTCGAGTGAGGGCCGGTAATTGGAAAAAATTTCAACCAAAGAAAATTCAAAAGGGTTTGCAAGAGCCATAATCTCATCCTCATAAATTAATAGAGAGGGAAAGCCACAAAAAGTTGTAGATTTAAGATCCATGAAAGAAACTAAGGAGGAGCTCGATAGGGCATCAACAAAAGATCTAGAATTATGAGGTATTCAGGATCCCTCCATCACACTTGGTTAACCGCCTTCTGAGAACTTGAAGGCGAAAAAATCAATAAAAAAAATCATGATCCGAAAATACCATGAAAAGCCCAAGTAGAGGAAGGAGACTACCAAGCAAGGCTCCCTGAGTAGACGGAACAAGATTGGGCGAGATACACATTGGAGAGAAGATAGATGCGGCTAGGGTGAAACCCTATCAAGATAACCAATAACTTTGTATATTAAAATAAAAGAATGGGACATGATCTTAAAATATGGAATGCAGGGTGCTACCCAACATAAATTTGATCCAAAATTTTGTCTTTAAACTATAGGAGTAGTGACCAAAAGTAAGTATATGTGATCTTGGCAGCCTTGTTGAAAATAATGTATAGGTCCCCTCCACATCACATAGATTTATGGAAAGCCAATTTAGAGGATAAACCATAATGAGAGAGGACGTCAAAGAGAATGTGAGTGCATCCCATGCTTAAAGAATTACTAGAAAAAGATATTTTAGGTGATGAAACCAGTCAGGGGAAGGAAGAGGCGAGGAAGGAGAGTGAGATGATGATATTGATGATGACAATGATAATGAGTAGATATTTCTTTTTTTTTATTCGGTCGTTTTATATATATTACTCTATTGATGTTAAGTATAATGCACAATTAGTTTGAAACTACATATATGATTAATTTAGTATGATATTTGTCAAGGTATAATTAAGTTTTGATTAAACTATGATGTTAGATTGATAGGTTTGTTATGTTGGTTTCAATTTTGTCTATAGGTCGACGCCTGAATCGTACTTTCCATACTAACAAATTAAAGGCTCGAAAAAGAGAATAATAGAGAGAGAAATGAAAAGGAATGAGAAAGAAAAAGAGAAGATAAGTTTTTGAGAGTGAATCTTTGTAGATTTTATCAGCAACAGCAAAAAATAGAGGAGTTCATTTAGAATAAATTATGTATCCATAAGTTTTCTTTTGATCTTGTGTTTATAGGATCTTGGGTGGTATAGCCTATAGGAGAAGCTAGCTATATATAACTAAAAAATAATTAATAAATAAATAATATGACTTTACATATATATATATATATATATATACAATGTTATGATAGATACACATGATTAACTGACTTTGGATCCACCCATGCTTGGAAGCATCTAATAAATGTATGAGCATTGTAAGAATGTGAGATCATCATCTCTAAATAGACATAAATGAATATGTTTTGTTGACCGGGTGAGTGACTCCACAAGTTGGGTTTAGTGCTCCTTAGGCTTAGGTGGGTGACCTCTCCTACTAAGGCAAGTGCTGCTTAACCATACAAAAAATTTGTTATCCTGCAGCACATAGTAGTAGCGATTTTAAAGCCGCTGCTAAAAGTAGTTTTTTTCCAACAGTTTTAACCTAATTGTGGTTTAAACCGCTAATATTAGCAAGGAGCACTAATCTCTAACACACCTGAGGAGCCTCACAACATTTTCCAGCCTCGCCTATTCTCCCTCTGATTGATCAACTGTCGTGCTTCCTCCACACCCCTCCACCGTAGCATTGGCCAACTATCTCCATCCCGTTGTCGTCGTTTAGCTGCTCAAGCAACTAAAATGGTACCTTTTTGTTTTTTAATAAATTTATTATCGTCTTCTTTAAGTAGATGATGAATTTTCATTAATCTTATTCATGTTAATGATTGAAATATTTCTCTTTCTAAAAAAATCATAAACCAATTAAGCACGAGTGTAGCCAAAACCTTAATTATAATCAGATACTAAGATATCTCTCTTACCTTGTCCTAATTTCCCTTAGCGGACCTCGACTACTGCCATGAGGTCAGTTACTTTTCTCCTTCGATGGAGCACAAACTTAAGGATAATATTGTTTCAATATTTCATCCAATTGTTATTATTGTGTTGCTTCAATTAAATAGGTGTCGTAAATTTTTGTATTAAGATAAGATATTTAAAACTCTATTTTTGAACTTTTTGTATGTATGAATTTTTGATATTTTTATGGAATTAGCTTGTGCATTTTTTTTACAACTAATTGCAGCGCACACCAATTTCAACGGTCCTTAGCTATTTTGAAAGCCGCGATATTTTTACAACTGTCCGGAAAGCCCTTCAAAAGGGATACGAAAGCCATTTTTTCTGGTAGTATTGTATGTTGGGGTGAGTAACACTTAGTAGATGCATGTTGATCCTTTATTGAATTCACATAATCTTCCCAACTCCATATCTATATATTGGATCATGCATATCATTAATTATTTTATTTTTTATATTATCTGAATGTGTGCAGGTTGGTAGAATGAAGGCAAGCACGTAGCTAAAAGCTATCAGTCATGAGAGCATTTGTTCTTGGCCTGCGACAGGCTATCTGTCGCAAATACTTATCAATGTGTAAGCTTGAAATCTCTTATATTTTTTGCAAGTTTTTTTCCTGTTAACTCTTATTTTGTTATAAATATTTTTGATCTTGAAGATTCTTCCTCTTGAGGCTTTTAATGCTATGTTATAATTGTTAGAGGATCTTGAATTCTCAGGGAAGAAGAGCCGAAGCAGAGAAACAACAGGAAATGGATGGAAAGAGAAAAACTGTATTCAATTCATTTAGGATGTACAACGTAATACATATATAGAAAATACAAGGATAAACACGTAAATACAGAGAAACATATTTATATATATTTACAATAATAAGTGTGAGGACGTACATGAAGTAATTATTCTGTGTGGAGACTGAATGCAGTCCAGAATTTAATAAAAATGAGTCATGTCACTCGGTACTCAGTATTGAGACTCGGTGCTGTTCAGTACCGATCGATATCAAATGATGTGATGCATTTTCATTAATTAAGCTCCAAACTTTAACTGTATCTGATTTTCACACAGAATAATTTTTCCAGTATATGAGCGTGTGAGTACGTGAGTTGGGCACTGCATTGTACAAATGGGCCATTTTCCTGCTAGAGATGGCCGGCATGCATTCATTAATGACTAATGAGTATGACAAAAAGATGTCAGAGGAGGGACGGCTCCGCAATTAATCTGCCATATGGAGCAAGGAAGGACATGTTAGAGCTGTATCAGTCAGATTTGGTTTGGTGCTGAAGACCTCAGAGACTAAGAGAAAATTGATTATCGTAAGGAATATAATTTCTTTTGCTGAAGAAGCACACATCGCAGTTCGCATGAATCATGTGGATAGTTGCATGATGGATGTCTCCCTTCATCAAAATAAGTCTACCAAAAATTTATCATATGAAATTTAAATATAATTAGGCATCTCTAGCCGAATGCCTAACACTCGTTTAACGTTTTTGGTTTGCTCCATTCGATCGAAAAAAAAAAAAAAAAAACGCTATTTAGGTGAGGGTGAATAATGCGACGTCAATATTGACGTCGGACTGTTCAGCTGCTAAATTTTTTTATAAATATATGATTAGAAAATATAAAATAAAGTATGAGAAAGAATATTCACAAAATATTCTTTTTTGGTGTTTGAAAATGAAATTCGGTTGGAAAAGAGTTATTGCATTCAGTGTATTACTAATTTTTTGAGTCAAAATTGAGTTTTTTGGTTGGAGATGCCCTCACAGTATCACCCCCTTCAAGTAAATATGATAGGACTGAAATTTTGTTAGAGACGGCTTTCTTATTGTTTCTTAAAGTAAATTTTTAATATAAAAATTTTAATTTTTTACTTAAAAAATTATTTTAAAAAATGATATGAAAGTCATCCCAAACTAAATCTGAATCCCATATAGCTAGCACAATGAATAGCATTAGCAACATAAATCAACGAGTTATTTCACAGTAGCCACGAAATAATACAACCACCATTATTGCATTCCTTTTATCTTCTAAATGAAGAAGTGAACAAACAAGATGACAACATTGTTAAAAAAAATAAATAAAAAAAAGTAAAAATAATAAAAATGGTTTACTCTTAACAGCAAATAAATAAGATCGAATGAACAATTAAAAAAAAATAAGGCAATAGAATATTAAAGATATTTTCAAGTTATTTAATTTGTCTTCCTGCAGTTCAAACGGATCTGACCGTTGGTGCCCGTAAGCGGGCTAAGGGCTCCCATCTTCACCATAGCTGAAGCAAAATCCCTGAAGAACAATTGAATATTTGCACTGTACTGTCTCACCAATAAATCCTGCGTCCCATTATTAAAGAGCTCCTGATCCGAATGCAGGAGTCCACTGCGACCCACCAAGTTCTGGTAGTAATGGGCTCCAAACCGGTTTGCTCCCTGTTGATCAAGCGGAGCCAAGTTGTTATCACCACCCGAAGATGGACAGTTTTGCTTTCGAAGGGCAGCGAAATTAGGGTTTATGTTTTTGTCATTGTAGATGTGAGACCGGAAGGTGGTGCAGCGAGCCAGGCCAATGGTGTGAGCACCAGAAAGCGCAGTCATGTCGCGCGGGCTCATATTCTTCGCCGCGAAGGCGGAGATGAGCGTTGAGAGGCTTGAGGCTGGGCTTGGGAGATTGCTATTTGCCGCGCTTTGGCTCGCCGTCGTGGAGTCCCTGCGGCCGAGAGCCACCGTCCAGGACGGTCCGCCCAGCTGCATCATATTCAATAAAAATTAGATCTTTATATTGTACACGACACAGTTATCGTATGCGTTCGATAGTTATGTATACTAACCCGAACAACACCTTCACGAGCTGCAAGGGCGAGAATATCAGAGCATGACACAGTGGCTTTGCATGAGGCTTCAACAAGAGATTTTATTGTGTCGATGACTTCAAAGCCCCGAAGAGAGTTCTGGTTTGGGAAGGCGTTCTTTTCGCCGGTGAAAGTTGAGGTGTCGTCGAGAAGAACTGAAGCATCACAACCCTGATATGAAAGTACAGATCGATCAGAAAATTAAGCTTATAGAAAGGAGAAGATTTGGTACTGCAATGGCTCGTACATTAACAAAGCAGTCATGAAAGAAGAGGCGGAGAACGGAAGCGCCCATGCGAGGTTCTTTGGCCACTGCTTTGGCCATTGCTGAGCTGACAATGCTCTGCAACTTTGGGCAAGTGCGAGCGTAGAATCCCGTTGTTGATAGCTGGGCTTGCACCCTGCAACTGAGCAAGCTCAACAGAAAGAGAGCAAGTAACCTACTTGAGACAGTATTGGAGGCCATTAGATCTTATTAGCTTGAAATAATCTAAGGATGAAGGAGGGTTAATTTGGCTGTGCAGAAAGCCCTTTCTCTGATTGGTACATATAGAGGAAGACAAATATTATTTAAATACATAAGAAGATAAAATACGAAATTGTTTAGGAAAAAATAATTAAGATTAAATGGCAGATAAGTTTGAATGAAGAACGTTAGTGATGGAAGATGAACGCGAGGTTGGAGGTTGACCGGAGCTTGATAACTAAGCGCCTGACAGGCTTAAACCATTTGTTTTTAGAATAAGGCGTGTGGACTTCCTCCTACAATGATATTGTAAAGGAATGAAATTTGTCCGAAGGCAAGTCTTCAATTTAAGCATTGACATTTGTTTGAATAAGAATGGATTAATGGACGCCAACTATGTTCGTTAGACTTTAATTTAAGATATATATATATAGTTTAAGTATGGTGGTATTTTGATATGCATGTCGTTATTGATTAATTTATTTGGTAAATTTCTTAAAGCATTTGTCATGATTTTAATATTAAAATTTGTCAAGAATTAAAAGCATGTGTACAAGTTAATTTGATTTTGACCCGTTGTTTTTTTTTTTTTTAAATTAAAACCCACTCATGAGGCCTACGTGTTAATATTCAAAAAACGGTTACAAGGTCCTTAAAAGGAACCTCCAGCTCCCTACTGCTCGAAAGAGCTACAAGTAAAAAAGTAAAATAACAACCTATGAGCCGGTGGTTCCTTTTTCTACAGTTACAAAAATAATGCCACAAAAACCTAGGTCTGTGAATAAACAGAACCCAAAAAAGGAAGCAACTGATGATCTCATTCTGCTCATTCTTCCTGCCAAAAAACCAGTAATAATTTTCAATAAAGACTAATAAGCAAAATAAACTAACCTTGGCAACCATACAGCTTTTACGAAGAGAAGTAAATAACTTCCTGCATTTATAAAGCACAGAATAAGCATAGTCAGTAAAAAGAAAACCATCATTAGATCCCAAAAAACTACCTCCAGGACTATAGGAATTCCAGGTTTTACTATCAATACAGCAGACCAAAAAAATGTCCAGGAACCAAGGCACATTAAAGAAATTAATATCAAAGCCTCCTGTGCAATGCTTGGGACCCAAAGGGAGAAAAAAACTGAGCACATTTAATATGTAAATACCAACCAGAAGTAAATAAAAAACTGTAAAAACTCAGCAGAAACACCACACCCAAATGCAAATGCAAACACCTCCGGAAAAATTACTCCAGACCAGGAACACAAGGCAGAACCACATAATCACGCCCAGACAACCCAACAAAAGGAAAAACAAGAAAATAAGCCCAGAAACTAAACACCCAAAGAACCAAAACACACCCATCAAGAAAGCCCCAGATTATCACGTCTAACCAGATTAAGCAATTGCTCAGGCAGCTTATCAATCTTGAAAATAATATCACTTGTAGATGAACAACCAAACTTAGCCAACCAATCCGCACAAAAATTGCATTCTCTGAAAATATGACTTAAGGAGCAGTTAAGCTTAGACATGGCCATTTGAATGTTTCTAATGAGATAGAAATACTGAGGATTAACAGAAATTTCCTTATTAATCAATTGAGTAACCAGCACAACATCAACCTCAACTTGAACATAATAAAAACTCTTAGACAGACACAACTCCAAACCCTTATGAAGAGCCACAAGCTCAGCAAAAATAGCTTTACATGGATATAAAGGGCCCACAAAAGCTAAAATTACCTCACCATAGCAGTCACGCATAATTCCTCCCATCCCAGCAGATAACCGGTTCACCGACCCATCAGTATTAAGCTTAAAGAAAAATCGGGAAGGTTTTAACCAACTAACCAAACGCTCCCTATTACCCACATGATCAATTTATAAATCAATACCAATAGCCTCAGCATAATTACCACAATTTTTGAAATCTTTCTCCTTAATAAGTTTAGCATAGAAACACTGAGAGACTTTATAATTAACATTCGAAATAATGACATTAGCATCAATCTTAATACCCTTATGCTTGGACTCATTTCTAGCCTTCCATATGTACCACAAGATAAAAATAGGCAGAATGTTCACAATATGACCCTTAGAAGGAATCATCCATTTAGAAAGCATAGCATAAATATTCTCATTACCCGTGACAGTGCAAGTATTGTTAACAGAATTAGAAAAAAATCTCCAAACAGTTTTGGCCATATGGCTATTAATAAAAACATGCTCAATACTCTCAATATTAAAACAACACTGACATTTAGAGGGAAGGAGAAAACCTTTATTCCAGAAATGGTTATCCACAGGTAAAAACCCTTTAATACATCTCCAAGCAAGAATAGAATAAGAAACCGGGATGCAATTACTCCACAAATTCTTAAAAATCATAGACTCAGATTGCTTCTCTCTGAAAATATCACACACTAAATTAAGCTTAAAGCGCCCATTAAAAGAAATATTGAAAAGAATATTATCATCAGCATCCAACTGAAGCGGAATACTCAAGATTTGAATAAGCACCTCATGAGGAATAATATTACCAAGCTCCATGACATTCCAAATACCATTAACCCAAAAACTAGAAACTTTAGTGTTAATAAGAGTATGAGTATTAAGCATGCTATCAATAGACCCATTTCCCAACCAATTATCCTGCCAGAAAGAGATATCACCATTCCCCAACCCCCATTGAACAAATTTTTTGGCTTCCCAACTTATCTTACATAATCTTTTCCAAACCATAGAATCAACCACATTGAAACTACAATATAAAGGGTGAGTATCCTTACAATACTTAATATGCATAAATTTAGACCAGAGACTATTGTTAGTCCTAAAAACAAACCATAACTTATGAGAGAAAGCATGCACCATATCCAAAATACTCTTGCTTGCCAAACCACCTTCATTAACCGGCGCACAAACTTTATTCCACGAAGCCCAATAAATACAAGAATGCTCATTATTGGCTCCCCAGAAAAATTTGTTGATAAGACGTTCCAGTCTCAGACAAGTGGCAGAAAAGGGATGAAGCGTGTGAAAAATAAAAATAGGAATCGAATTTAACACAAGCTTGATTAACATTAATCTACCTCCAAAAGATAAAAATTTAGTGGTCCAATTTGAAATTGTACTTTGAAAAACATTGAAAATATCTTCAAAAATAGAATCTTTTTTCCTTCCCTTAAAAATAGGCGTACCCAAATATTTGATAGGAAAATAAACACAATTAAAATTGCACAATCTAATAATCGCATTAATTTTGGCAATGTTAACCGACTTAGAAACAATGAAATTACTCTTGTTTCTATTAATGTTGAGAGCACTGATCTTATGAAAACCTTCCAGAAACTTGATCAAAATTTTAATATTGTTAATGCACGCATTAGAGAAAATAATAAAATCATCAGCAA